CACACACACTCATGATAAAAGATGCAGGCCTGCTACCCAGGCCACTCGACTCTTATCAGGGTTTAGGACAGCACAAGCTTCCTGGGCTGAGGTTAAGTGGCATGACCTGGACCGGAAGCCAAGACGGCAGGTAAGGAGGGGATGCTTAGGCAGCAGAACCAATATGGAAGTCCTGACAAAAGGGAACGTTTGTCATATTATGAGAATTAAGAATCCCACAAACACAGCAGTTGACCATGCTCCAAAGCTGTTAGTGAGTCACAGTGTGGAACAGTGAGAAGGACACTGTCCTGAAGTCAAGACAGCCAGAATCCAACTAAGGCTCAGTCAACACTCCCGTGGGACACTAAGCAAAGCACGGGGCCTGCCCTGTACGAGGCATCTGCCATGCACTAGCTCTTGGCATCCTTTGGCCTCCCTGGATCAGTACAGCAACTCTGAGTGGCAGGTATTATTGCTCCTAATTAGAGACGGAGAGGGTAAGATTAAGAAATTTACCCATGATCACACATGGAAGAGGGGGTACGGTTGGAATTCCAACTCAGATCTCTCCCCAAAGCCCACCTTCTTCACACACCTGCTCCTCATGTGATAAGAGGTAATAAGCTTAGCTAGGGACCCACCAGCCTGTGGCAAGATTTCCAAATATGGGAGCTGCCTAAGCCCTCCCCTCCACATCTCTATAATGCTATGTGATGTAGACGACTAGGAGTCATAGAATTGCCTCTAACAAGATCCCATTGTGGAGAGACGTTTCTTTCAGTAAGAAAGGAAGGAAATGCCTTTCCTAAGAAATTTCTAGTTTAAAGTACACACACATACACACACACACACACACACACACGCACGCACAGACACACACACCCTATGGCAATCAGGTTAAAAATGCAGACTGAGGGGACATTTGCAATCCTGAACTTGGAGGCAGATGAACCCCAATGTGATAAGCAGAGAAACAATGTGAAACAGTCACGTACTAGTCCAGGCAGTGGGGTTGCCACCTGTCCCCAATAGTTAGCTGTTGAACCCAGCTGTGACCTCCACTCTACAAAACCCCAGCTCTGCGATGCTGGGCTTTAACCCGGGGCTCAGAAAGCAGCAGCCTCCCCTCTCTCTCTGGTCTATCCTGACAGCATTACTAATCAACGGACTCTTCTGGAGGGCTGCAAACAGGGCAGGTAGGCTGGACAATAAAAGCCCTCCTACAACGGGCTTCGCGGGTGGCTCAGTGGTTAAGAATCCACCTGCCAATGCAGGCGACACGGGTTCAATCCCTGGCCCGGGAAGATCGCATATGCCGCGGAGCAAGGAAGCCCATGTGCCAGAACTACTGAGCCTGCGCTCTAGAGCTCGCGAGCCACAACTACTGAAGCCCGTGCGCCACAGCTACTGAGCCCGTGTGCCACAACTACTGAAGCCCATGCGCCTAGAGCCTGTGCTCCGCAACAAGAGAAGCCACTGCAATGCGAAGTCCGTGCACCGCAACCAAGAGCAGCCCCCGCTCGCGCAACTAGAGAAAGCCTGCAAACGGCAACGAAGACCCAACACAGCCAAATATAAAAACAAACAAAGAAATAAATTTATATTAAAAAACCCTCCTACGAATCTTGAAAATAACCCCACCTTATGTCTTGTGACGTCTAGTTGTCACAAGGCACAAGAGATTTTTCACATATATGGTCTCACATGATTCGTTCTCCCTTTGAGTTACAAAATCACATGTTACTATCACATGTTCCACGAGCAAGTCGATGCCGAGAGAGGGTACAAAATACGACCCAGGGAATAAGCTAGGAAATGACCGAGCTGGGATCGAACCTATGTTTTCCTACTCCCAATCTTAACTTCAGCTCATCCAGTCATGGCCAGAGACACATCCTCTGGCCAGCCCTCTCACCCCAACTCCTTTTCTTCCACTCTGGGTCAGCAGGGCAATCACCGCTGCGTAGACACTGTTGAATCAAAGCCCTCCTCTCCTCTTCCAGGAAAGAAAAGTATGTGCCTATCTGAAGTCAAGCGGTCTTAGGTGAGGGCTAAGAGTGTACCTGCCCAATCATGCAGCACATCTGTTTACATGGCAGTCAGCGAACCACACCTGGCTTCTGGGACTTTTAACCTCCACAGACAACCTTTCACTCTCCTAGAATCATGGCTCATTTGCTAATTAAAGGGTATTATGCACACCAGCTAAGAACTTGGAATAAGGACGCGTATGCGAAAGCATTAGCCCTGGAGATGGCACTAGGTATGCTTTGCAGAAAAAGAAAACCAGGAAAAATGATCCACCTGGGGCAGCCCCTCCCCACACTTCACTCTCTAATAAGCTAGCCACAGCCCATAGGGAAGGAAGCCACCCAGCATAGGACAAACCCAGGGAGAGCCCAGTAAATTAACCAAAGGGAGAGGGATACGCAGTAGAGAGAATGAATGAGAGAGAAAGCTGGTGAGCCAACTTCTCCCATAACCACCTGTGAGGTCTCGCTCTCCTCCGGTGCACCCCAGGCCAAGGACAAGCACACCTGCACCCCAGGCCAAGGAGCCAGGGTGACAAGGTCTTGGAATGAACTTGGCATCATGTCCGCGCCTTGTAGCATGGCTGCTCATTGCAATCAACGGGTGAAAAAGATCAGCCTCCTGCCTGGAGTATGCGCCAGGTTTCCTAGAGTGGGTGCCCTTTTGGACACTCTCCTGAACAGCTTGGCAATCCAGCCCTGAGACCCATCCCCTTTTCAATGCTAGAGGAGGTCATCCATTGAGAGTCAGTCTAAGGAGGGACACTCAACCAAATCAGTCTTGAACCTGGTAAGGACGGCAGATAATGACATGACACTTACTAAGTAATAAATTGTGTCCACAGGCAGCTTCATTATTTAAGAGACAACCTGGAAAGGTCAAAGGGTTGGGTCAGGTTTTACAGCCTGATCTTTGGCCTCTTGGGACCCCAGGGACCGAAATGATAGGCTAAGTACAAAACTGCAGTCTGGGATCAAAGAACCTTTACTTCTAAGTGGAACTTGGTCATGAATTGAGAGGAAGCCACTAGGTGGACATGTGGTTATGAGGATGCTTGAGAACTTGGTCCAGGGTCTGCTACCAACTGCAGTTGCTCTCGGTGCCACCTTCTCTCTCTCTCTCTGCTGTCTGCATGTTCCATGTGTGTTTCTGAGCTGCGTGGTGCAGTGGTGAAGCGGAGCGTTGCCACGGCACTAGAAAGCACGGGGTGGATACAGATAGTTTCAGCCTCCAAGAATGAGGCTTTTTCCCCAACTCTCCCCAAGCCACCCAAGACATTGTGCGTGACATGTTTTCGGATCCTGTTTGCTCCATTTAGAAAGGCTTCCAGGACTGCTGGTCCCTTCCCCCCAGCTCAGACCTGCTTCCTCTTTACCATACATACACCACAGCCTGATCTTGCTGGGCTCTTTTGCATGGATAATACAAAACAACTCCCCCAGGAAAGAGAGCTCCAGGGGATGCCAGAGGCAATGAGCCCTCCCCAGCCCCGCGCCCCACCCCCACCCACCCCCAGGCACTCTTGGCTTTTCCAGAATCAGAGACAGCGCACAGCAAGCATAGAGGCTGTGTGCAGAGACTGGTTGTAGCATTAAAAGAAACTCAGAGCAAGAGTCTGGTAGGCAGTGGCCCTGAGAGCCGGCGGGGAGTGGATGCATCACAGAGAAAGGTAGAGCGTGTCTTAATTAGGCAGAGGACCTCAGACAAGAGCTGACAACAGAGTCCAGTCTCTTTGCAATTGCAGCACCTGCCACCCCGAAATTACAACTGCAATTTGGCTCAAGGCTCTGAGACTCAAAAGCTCTCGGCTCTCCCTTAAGGCGGCTTTGGGAGAAGCGGCCACACTGGGCTTCCGGAGGGTCCCACAGCACTTGATGTCCCAGACCCTCCCGGGAGCAAGGAGGTGTGGGCAGCTGCAGCCAGACCTGTTATGCCAAGTTCTGCCCAGCAGCCCACTAATTAGGCAGACACAGAACCCTGGCAGCCACAGCTCTCCTCCCATTCTTCCCCTGCCCCTCTAGGAAGCCCCGTCCCGAATGGGATCCACCTCCCCCTCCGCTTTTCCTCTTTACTCAGCTCCACTCTCCTCCTCCAGGCTTGCGGATCTCACAGCTGCTCGCCCCCTCCCCACACCACCCCTCTGTATCCACGTATCCACGTTGTTAAGGGATCATCATACAGACAGCAAACGAGCCTTTGAGTTTCAAGCTGAAACTCGCAGACCAGCCAGCCTGCAACGTTTCACCCTCCCAGGCATCTCACTGCCCGTCCTGTGCATGGGTCTCCACATAGACCCTCCTCTTTGGCCCAGGGACCCTGAACATCTCTTTGTTTTTGACCTGCCAGCAGACCAGACAGAGACCCGGGGTTCCCCTGGCCTCTCCTCTCCCCGCACGGAGCTCAGAATCCACACAGGAAAAGGAAGGAAAGAGACTTCCACACCTTTGCAGCATCACCTGCTCCAGCAAGCTCCCAAAGCCACTGGAACTATCCAGGCTGCCTGGTGCCCCCCACCCCCTTTCCTGGCAGCTTTAAGCTCCAGCCCAGCCCACAGGATGCTGTGCCTGATGCCACTTCCGAGCAGAGAAGAGAGAGAGAGAGAGAGAAAATGCCACCTCGTCAATGACAAGCTGTTCCAATCACACAGCTCAGACACCAAGTGCCCTGGACCACGGACGGCTCAGGCCTCCTCCCTCTGGGTGGGTGGAAGGCAACTCAGCACCTCTAGGGTAACGATCCGCCACCACGGCCAGGCCCCCCCTGCTCGCCCCGCACATCTGACCAGACAGGAGTGCTCCAACCCAGCAGGCAGACCTCTCCGACCAGTCCCAACAACTCTGGCCAACTACGCTCTTGGCCTTCAACTGAGACACTGCTCTCTCTCCTGCTCCAAAGCACAGAGAGACCTCGAACCAAGCCGGAGACCGCCAGCGTGGCAGTTCTCAAAAGGACTGAGCGCAAAAATGAGCTGAAAGCCAAGTACTCACTGTGGTGAAGTCCTGGTGGCCACACTCCTGCCCTTTGAACTTGCAGTAGAGCATCATATCCTTCAGGTCATGGCCCACGCGGTGCAGGAACTCCAACATGCTGAACTGCTTGGGTCTGTAGTGCTTGAAGTTGGCCTTTTGCCGCAGGGCCTCCAGCACCATGGGGTCAGCCAGGTGCGGGTCCGGGATCTGCAGGTTGACGTCCAACAGGGCGAGCAGCTCCCCGGCGTGGTACAGATCATTGGTGGTGAGCCTGGAGAAGCGGAAGCCGTTGAGGTTACAGAGGGTCACGGCTGGGAAGACCAGGCTTTGGGCCACCACCTCATCCACCTTGGTGACGTGCTGGTAAGAGAAGTAGTAGGACACCCTCTCAGAGCTCTCCACCAGCAGCAGGCCCAGAGAGCCCACGAAGGCCATGGCCCAGAGCACACGCCGGATGGTCAGCGGCCCGTACACGAAGATGTGGCGGATGCCGTGGAGGGTGGAGGTGTTGGCGAAGATCTGGATGCTAGAGGGCTGCAGGCTACCCTCGCTGGGGCTCTCCTTGAGGTCCATGGGGACCCTGTGCAGTTCCGCAACTGGCTTCAGGTTGATCAGATTTCAGGGAAGAGTTCCCAGTCCTCGGGCTCTGCTTAAACCTTGACGTTCAAGGGAGGGAAGGAAAGGCAAGCATCAGGCCAGGTGCCGTGAGTTTATCCTGAGAGCCCAGCCGCACGCTGCCAGGGGTGAGTGTTTATATAAAACCCATTCAAACTCTAGCTCCTGATTTTGTCCAGGCGATAAGGAAGGCTGGTTTTATTTAGGGAGACACCAAGGTGATGTGGAAGAGATGTGGGTGGGAAGGGAGAGCTTAGCCAATGGAAATAAAGTCCTCCCCCCTACACACGCCACTAGAGACAAGATTAAAAGCGAGAGCGAGGGAGAAAATGCTTAAAACAAGTCGCTCAGCAGCTCGGAGCCTGTTAACCAGTGCGTAATGCCCCGCGTTAACCATCCTGGGGATGTCAGGGCGGCCACGCTGATGCAGTGCGGCCGGGCGCAGCGGCCGAGCTTCAGAGCCGCTGCCGCCGCCGCGGCTCTGGTCCTCTCCTCTCCCCGTACTGTTTTGGACTCCGGATTCCGTTTCTCGCCGCCGGCCTCCGTCCCTCCTCTCCTACCTCCTCCTCCTCAAGGGCCCCTTTTTTTGGGCAGAATTCCAAAGGCAGGCGGGCCGCGGCTAGCGCCTCGGAGAGGCGGTAGCGCGCGGCCGCGGAGAGGCGAGGACCGGGAGGCTGGGAAGGATGCTGGAGGTTCGGAAAGGGACGCGTCTCTCCCCGCCCACCCGAGGAAAAGCGAGGACCCAGAGGGCACCGAGCGAGCCAGCCTCCCTCAGCCCCTCCTCCACCATCCTGCTGGGGGCTGGGAGAGGGCAGGCGTGGGGAGGGGTGTGGCGGGGGGCGGGGGTGTTGCGGGGGGGGCGTTGCTGGGGGCGGGGGACCGGCGAAAGTTTCTTTTTGGTCTTTTTTGGAGGGAGCTAGTGGGGGCTTCTCGCCCAAGGTGGGGAACCAGCCCTGGGAGTGAGGACTTGACCCCCGCCCCCGTAGATGGCAGGAAGGCACTTGGTAAACTCCCAGGAGCCGGGTATGGGGGTGAAGGCAGCATTCCTTCGCACCAATATTTGCTCCCGGGTCAGGCTCAGCCTGGAGCCTCCGGACGGGAGACGATGGAAGCGGGGAAGGAAGGGAGCTGTAAAAAACCACAGTGCCTCTGCTGCCGGCGGGAAGGGGACATTCCAGGGAATGAGGTGCCCCTGACAGAAGCCGAAGAGCCAGACGCCCCTAGGAGACCAGACGAGGAGCAACGTGTAGCCCCACCCCCCGACAGAGCTGTCAGGAGGTTCTGCATCTGAAAGAGAAAGACAGCTGGGGTTCGAGGTAAGGCTGGATGCCTTCCCTTTGGGCTGTGCGTGTGTGTGTTCTGCCCCAGGATTTGCCAGATGGAAACACAGCTGGAGCTATAGGTGGGAGAGAGGGATTGGGCTTTCAGCCACCTACCTCCTTTTTCCTGAAAATCCACTGGAAGTCAGCTCCTGCTAGCAGGTGGGTGTGGCTTGCCCTGTGCCAGGGATCAAATGGCTGGAACCTATAGAATCAATGATGCTAAATCCCCTTCAGGAGGAAAAGAACAGAAAGTCCCAGTGGCCAACCCAGTGCACACTCCCAGTCTGGGGCAGAGCCACATGGAGGCGCCTTGCTGAGCCAACCTGGTGTCCCCAGGGCATGCCCAGCTTAAATAACACTCCTTGAGAAGAAGGCAGTTTAGGGAATGTCCCTCTTGGTTTGTATCTACTCTGAAATGTTTCTCTATCCCATCTGCCCTCTCGCTAAACCAGAGCCAAACCAGGAACAGTGTCCAGATGCACATTAAATGGTTTACTGATCCTGGGAGCTCTAAGAGCAGAAGCGTCCTGAATGAGCAAAATGACAGAGGCCAGTTAACCTCATGCGTGTGTCATCCCAGAGGTCCCAAATCCCTACCTTAAGGCTGCCTAGATGGGGATGGCGTTTTCAAAACAGGGGTGCCAAAATTAACTAAGACTCTACCCTGTCAGGACCGGGTGAAGATGCCTGATTTCACTTAATGCTTTCAACCACCTTGACAGGTGTGTGTTATTACCCCAAGTATACACACGAGGAAATGGAGGTTCACGAGAGTAAAGTCACAGCTCATAAGTCACGGAGCTGGGACTTGAACTCAGGCACGTTTGCCTCCAAAACAGAGGCTGAAAAGCAAAGCCAAGACACTCCTTCCCAAATTTAGGAAGAGGACAAACATTTCCACCCCACTTCCCCCAACACACAAACACAAACTCACAACTCACCTTATACTACACACAGGCCAGCTCCTCCTTCCGCAGACGTGAAGCAGCCCTCCTCTTCCTCTCCACCAAGCCACATCCCTGGTGTCCATGTTTCTCACAGTGCCAGGCACTCCTCCTACAGGAAGACTTCCCTGATGCTCCTTTGCAGTCTTTGGCTCATCAGCCTTTTCAACAAGTCCGTGGATCTCTGACTCCATACCAGACACTCCGTTGGTTTTGGGGAAACAAAGAGGAATGGGACACATTTCCCACCCTTGATAACTCAGGGTTCAGTGGGGCTGGAGCCAGTGTACGTTTGCAAACTGGCCCTGTACACACAGAAGGCAGGGAGAGACCGAAGAAAGAGGCAGCCGCTCCAGGTTGGTCGGTGGCAGGTTAAATAAGCAAGAGAACGTACACACGAGGTTAGTCTTGGGCGCTGTGAGCGGAGTAAATCTCTGCACCCACCACCCAATTGCAGAAGTTGGTACAGAGGCCTTAAGTGGGCTCAGGCACATATACCATCCAGATGGTCTCAGCACCACCTTACTCTCTCGAGGCTGTGCCCTTAAGCAGCTTCTAGCTTGGGGAACGCACACTCCAAAGACAGGGAAGGCGAGGAAACTCTGATTGCCCTGGTCGCGTCCTCTTGATGACCTCCCCCAAGACTCCGCCCCTCCTCGTGACCCGCTCTAGTTTGCACCGCGCCCCTCCCTCCTCTGAAACGTTCCCGGGAAAGGTCAGCCCGGGTTTCACTAACATGGAGCTCGTTAGATGGTTATCTGGCTACATTGGAGGCAGATGCCTCAGCAACAATACAAGCACATGCAAGAGAAGCACGGGTTAAGACAATAATTCCCCAAATCCGTGGCAGCTTCTCCCACCAAGAGCCGCCTGTTCAGAACCACTGATTTATAAGTCTCCTAGGCTGGGGGCCGGAACACTTAGGGCATCCACTTGTGGCCTTGTGTGATTTAGTGAAGCCAGCACAGTAGCAGACAGAAGACTCACCAGGTATGAACACACAACATTCTGCTTGGCTAATGACACAGGTGCCTCCTGACCAGGCAGTGATGATGTCCAAGTCCATCCTATGTTGGAGGCCAGCTTTTCTCATTAGAGACATGTCAGTGTTCAGTAAGGACAGCCTTTGTTGGCCTTCATTCAGGGCTTGCTGGGGGATTTAATAAGGGCCTCCGTGTGTGCTACAGTGTCCTCCAGGCTGATGGAGGAGACAAAGATGGCGGCCAAATGATGGTACCGGTGGGAAACAGAACGTGTGTCCCGGGCCTCGAGGAGAGGGAGGTGGCAGCTTTAGGAACTTGACCTGGTTGTGCGCACCATTCATCTTGGCCAGGGGAGGCAGCACTGTCAGGTGTGAGGAGATGGACTGGGGGCGGGACAGGCCAGACCAGGACCCCACCTTTTCCCCTCAAAGCTGTGTGTTTCATTCCAGGTCTAGTGTGTTTCCACAGGCTCAGCCTGCAGCAGGACAACGGGATCCCAGTGGAGACTGAGTAGCTCTTCCTTACCCAGGGGTGCAAAGCAATCCACCCATCCCGATGGGATGTCCCATTGCAAATTCCAGTAGATGAAGCCTCTCCCAGGCGTGACGGGGTTTGGTATTCTCAGCAGCACAGCAAGCTAATCCACGGTGAGAGTCCGGGCAATGGGTTGTTTCCCACCATTTCCATATCTTTACGGGATCGGGTGCCTCGGCAGGGGTCCCCAGTGTGGTATATGGGGCAACAGGCCCTTACCTGACCAAGGTGGTGCTACCTGTTAGTAATTTTATCTGCCGCTTTAATATCCCATTTTTCCTTTCTACTGACCCTGCTGCTTGCAGGGTATAGGGGAGAAGGACCCCTCATTCACTGTTATTTCTTTTGCCCCATCTGGTACACCATGACCTCTGCAGTGTGACCCCCATCACTATCTATTCAATGACGGTATCCATCCACGGTACTCAGCCTCTCTAAGCTCCCCCGGTGGTGGCAGCCTGGTTTGCACAGTCACAGGGGAAAGCTTGGGTTAAGCGAGACGCAGTGTCCACACAAACCAGGGCAAATTTAGATCCGTCACTCACCAGGAGGGGGCAAATATAATCAATGTGCCAATCTCTCGCCACTGGGTACTCCAGTGGACGGCCCCACTCTCCTTCGGCAGTTGCCTTGAGCATTGTTTAGAACACATAGGACAGACATGCTGTTACTACATTTACCAAATCACTGTATTTCGAGGGCAACCCGGTGTCCTTGGCAACACACCATCCCACCGGAGCACCACGTGTCCTCTCTTCCTATGCACCCAACCCGCTGCATCTGCTGAAGGGTCAGTTGCTACGGCTTGTACCCAAGCTAGGGCATCAGCTTCCTGATTACCAGGTGTCAGTGCCTCCCGAGTCGGGACATGGAAACAGTGAGGACGGCCTCAGGCTCTTGCAGGTGAACCCAAATGTCTTTTCGCCTATCCTGACCCCACGGGGGCTTATTCATGATCATCTACCCCTAGGCTTCCCTTTGTCCAAGCCTTAGAACAGCCTGACCATCAGTGCAAAGGGTTAACAGCCAGGGCTCATGAGTGGTCACCAGCCAAATCACTTGGAGTTCAGCCCTCTGGCTGCTGTGGTTCGTTCCTGTTTCCAGGCGTCTATGTACAAGGCATCAGAGGGAATTTCTCCCACTCCCTCCCTACAGGCCACAGGAATAACGGCAGGTGCATTTGGAGAATGTACTTTCTCTACAGGGCCTAGGAGCACCTACCTTTCTAGAGACAGTGGGCTGGTGGACAGTGTACTCCCCTGCTACCAATATATGTGTCACTTAGTCACAGTTGGGGTTTGAGCCGAGACAAGTGTGTAGATGGAACGTATTCTCAACCTACCCCTCGAGAGGAAGGGAAGTTCTTACCAGGATGTGCTGTTCCTTTGTGAGACTCAACCCAGAGGAGCACTGTGGACCCTGCCAGGACCTGTTGTTTTATAGGAGTATATTGGGTTT